GATAGATAGATAGATAGATAGATAGATAGATAGATGTGTGGATAGATAGATAGATAGATAGATAGATAGATGTGTGGATAGATAGATAGATAGATGGATAGATAAATAGATAGATAGATAGATAGATAGATAGATAGATAGATAGATAGATAGATAGATAGATAGATAGATAGATAGATAGATAGATAGATAGATAGATAGATAGATGGATAGATAGATAGATAGATAGAGATAGTGATAGATAGATACCTTTATTAAACAAAAAGCATCAATTGAATTATACATGTCATTGTCTAGTTATTATTGACAGGAAATAATATTCAAAGTCGTTTAAAATCGGGGAAAACAGAATAGAAGTAACAATTATTGACTATTGAACTAACGAATAACTATTTATATCTATTATATGTATTTACTTAATTAAAACAAAATGAATAAAAAGAAAATAAATTACTCTCCATTTAGTTTCTTTTATTGAGATGGTGGAAAAGATTTGTAGCTCAGGTGGATGATTTTGGTGAAGTTTTGTTCTCTGAGATGGATGGTTTGGTCGACCAAACCATCCATCTCAGAGAACAAAACTTCACCAAGTTTCTTTTATTTTCAGAATTACATATGAACAAGGAAATAAACAAACAAAAAAAGTTTTTTTCTTTGTGTCTTATTCATGTTACAGGAAATAATAAATGGGAATTTCCTGAATTATTTAAGAAAAAGGGAACAAAAAAACAAAAACAAAAAAAACAGAACAAACATGACTGTTACATTTCATGTTTTGTCAATGACAATATATAAATTGTAATCTACATTAAAATTTCATAGGTTACAACAGCAATATTATTACTGATTTCATTCATATCATAGTTGGGGTTAATCGGAAAACATGAGCTTTGAAAAGATTAAAGAATTTGTGTGTTGAAATCACTAAGTGAGTAGTTGGGGGTGAGATGGGGTGGTGCACGGAGTAAGGTATAATGTACCAAGTGAAAATAATAATTAAAAAAAATTGAGATCAACTTATGAATTGACGTTAGTTGAGATGGTAAGAAAATCTTTTTTCATCAATTTTCAACTATTCCAAGACTTCAATGAGAAATATCGAATCCTGAAATGTTGGATTCTCAGAACTCACTTGATCAATAACATATTTTTGTAGTTTTATTTCAAAAAATTTGAATTTCTAGCTCATTTTTACATTCATGTCGTATTTCCCATTTGGAAAGATCTTAAAAGCTATTGGTTCGTTGTAACTTTTAGTATATTATTTTGTGTTGTATACGCTTGAATTGTGTGCTTGTTGTCGTTCGTGCTTCTGACTGCTTATGGAATATACTTTCCTTCATCTCAACCTGGATTTTTTACTCTAGTTATCAGGGCTGGGACGCGTCAGAATAGCTAGTTTACCTGTCATTGTATCACAGAGTCTTCTTTCAGTTCTCAGATGAGGCGAATTCGTCATCGCTTCAAATATAGCAGAATTTTAAAGAAGATTCATGAATTCTGTGCTGTGTTACGGAGATAAGAAAAATAAATGAATAGAGAACGTAAGAGATATGGAATATAATCGGTTACAGTTGAATTACATTTCTATTTACTTATAATTCTTTAGGTTCTTATTGTTTATCAGTTTTATGATCTATGTTCAAGGATACTGTTATTCCCATTCCTTATTTTTATCCTTCTTACTAGTAGACATCCTCACTGTGATTCAAAATGTGATATTACATATTTCCCCAGTATCCTACTTTATTCATAACTCACTTGAATAAATATTATTAAATGTTAGAATCAATGAAAGAAGTAGAAGGTAATGAAGTACTTTGAAAGTACTTTTACTGCATATTTCAGTGTGATCATAATCTCTATCGGTTCCAGTAGCCGACATGAAGACACATTAGGACTTAGATATTGACATGAACATATTTATCATGAAGTCATTACTTTTATGAAAAAAAATGTGATTTACAAAAATGTTTACAGATCAGGAACGATATAGCCGGTTAGATACAGTTAGTAGTAAGTTTGTTTTTCATATACTGATAATTTTTAGTAATTTCACTAGGCTTCTCATATCAAAAATGTAAACGTGGACTCAGTTATTAAGTGGAAAACGCGTTGGAAGTTGGAATCGAAGGGCGGTGGGTTCGACTCCCAGTGTGAATATCATTACTGTGGTACAGGTATATTCAACTTGTGAAATACACGTTTCCTGAAATCCACTATAAACTACTATCCAACTGTATTAAACGTAAATTGAACTGTTGTTGAATACTGACTTTTTATGTACTAAGTGTATTCAAATTGATGAGTTGTCAGCAAACTATGCAACATTACGTTTTCTATCAAAACGTGCGAATTTTTGTCATCGAAGTATGAATTGTAGCTAGTAAGCCAAATAACTTCAAAACAAAATTTTCTCAGAAATTTGTATGGTTATGAGCAATCAACAAGCAACCCTACTTGATCTAGGTTTTATGATAGTTGACACTCGTCATCAAGATTTTTTGTTAATATTGGAAGAATTGATTCTCTTCATGCAATCCATACCTGCGTTATCTTATTTCATCATCTGAAATATTACTACTAAATTATTCAGCCCTCAGGAGATTTTCTTTAGGACTGATATTTTCAAGCTAGTTTTGATTGTTGAACAGTCAGTAATGTAATGCTTGTATAGTCCAGTGCACTAATCGAATTCAATCGATTAAGCGGCCACTAGATTAATTGACTCGATATTTCGTGCTATTCATCTGATCTCTGAATTCGATCAATTACTTTAATGATAAGCCTCATTTTAGTCCAAGAAATTTTGTTGGATCGGGAAGCAAATTATTGAAATTAGGATGTTACCATATAGTGACTAAATATAATTTTTAACTTTATTTGAGTAGTTATAATTCTGAATTCAACTTTTGTATTTTGTGAGGATAAGTCATCCCATTTTTAATAAACAACTTTGACACGAAAACTGTATTTTCGGTAGTCGATTCTTTCAAGGTAGAATCCTATGGTATAACAGTTGATTCACATTCCATAGTGTTTGTGATTCAACTATTATTCCAGATTGTTGTGGTGGAATGAATGTTGAATACATTGTAAATTTGAAGACCGTTTCTTTTATCTCATTGGTTGTTCTCACCTTTAGTCATATTTCTTCATATTCATCTCAGTGTCGTATTTGTTACTACATAAGTGGAGTAGTTTTACTATAAATTTCGTTACTTGTTGACTCCAACCTCTCTCATCGTATTGTGGATTATTATCGAAGCGCTTTGTCGCGATTGATATACTGACGATTGATATTTAGGATTTAGACCATTGTCCGTGAACTTATCCGCTAACTGCTGAGAATAAAAAATCAAACGATTGTACAAAATACAATGTTAGCCTGAATAACCACAGACGCAACCTTTCACATTGAATAACAATTATCTTCGGCGATACAAAGGCATAGTAAAGTCTACTGATTCATAACAATCATGAACAACATTTTTACTTCTAACTAGTATGATTCTACGTTTTCTGATTCAGCTATGCTCTGATCAACATGTCTCAACTCAAACGGATCAACCGAAATGAAAGAATAGGTACCATAAAGTAAAATCGCTGTACGAAAGAATAAAAATCAATGGTCTCAATAACAAAATTTAGTTTTGCATCAGTCGTTTAGTAGGATTTGTTCGCATAAATCCTGTTTCATAATGTAGGAATTTGCCAATCGTTTATAATTACTTTAAGTTACCTCAAACCATAACACGTTCGGCGGCTTAAATGTTTTCTTCACAACAAAACAATTACTGGGACTATTTTCTAGATTGTTTATATTTTTTAGTAATCCTCAATTATTTATACACTTACTGTTTGTCAATTGTGACATGGTTGTGTTTAAAGTGTGATTTCATATTTAGGGTGTATTATAGTTTGATAATTCGAGTTTATAAGTTGATAAGTGTTTAGGATAACTAATGGTTGAGCTAGGTAGTTGAAATATAATAATAATAGTGATATGACAGCTAACTTCTCTTATGACTCAAGGGACAAGCTAAAGAAAAGCTTGAGGATAGTAAACTAGCAGGAGCGTAACTTGATTTTTCTCAAGGTTAATGGTGTGGATCAGAACGTCTAGGATGCCAAACTATATACTGAATAGAAAGATTATATTTAAAATTTGCATTAGTGAATTTAACATGTGATCACCGTCTCAAGTTACAACCGACTTAATACTCGGTAATCATTATTACATTCGAAATAAGAATAAATGAATGGTAAATTCCGGGAATTATTTATAGACTATTATTATACATAATCTTATTGTATATCTATTGGGCAACTAGATTATATATATTTATATTTATTTTAACATACACTTTCATTTGACCTATTGGCCACTATTATCTGATCTACCACTCCTAATTTATTCTCAATCCATTAGTTACAATCTCTCATACTCACAACCATTTTCGGCTTTCTTTTGTATGATAATTATTTTCCATTTTATGGTGTGATGCGGTCTGGTCTGCTTGTATATAAACCACGCATGTCTGAAATATATTGTTCATACAGTGTAGGCGAATACTGTGTTCTAGATTCAATAGGTCGGGTTAAGCGAAAAGCAACTACATCAAGAACCAATAAGAATTCAGAGTTGACTCATGGCTGCTAGTGCTGGTTGACGTGTCATTGGTTTAGCACAGGGACACAAGGTCTGAAAAGTCGATATTCTGATTGGCGATTTTTGTCGCGTGATAATTGACAGGAGCATAAGACATAACAAGTGTATGTGACAAATTAATATCAGCTGGAAAACTATTGAAAACTAAGAAACACTAAATAACTACTCTTTACCTCTCAACCCTTTCTATCTGGTATCAGTCAGTAACGGAAACTAACATTTATGTAATTATAGTCATCATTGTTGGGATATTTCAAATAACACCAATTTCTGATCATATTACGTTTACCAATTTTCTTAAAAACAACTTGATTTTTTCTCTTGCCAGGGTCTATGCGAAGTTGTTACACGTAATCGAGGTCTGTGTGAACCTGTATTAAATTTATATTTACGTCTTCTTACTGGTTGTTTAGAGCCGAATTTTCTGAAGACATTGAAGCGGTCTAGTGTACAAAACTCACTGAATTCACTGCCTACACAAATGAATCCATCAAATGTTGATTTTATTCATAGTCCACCATTTATTTTAAATAAATTAATTGATCAAAATTCTGTCGGTAATGAAATCATCCAATAACTGACAGAAGCAAAAGTCATAACAGTCTATATATTCAATGAAATTGGTGATGAATGAAAAAAATAAACACATTTCTATAGTTTCTATCATGCGTATGGCTCTTCAGTTTCCGCATATCTCACAAGCCCTAGACCTGAACACATTTTTAGTTTTGCCTTAAAAGTTAGTTTATATTTTAAGAAAAATGTGTAAAATGTTCAACTGTTCCTAATCTTATATTTTGGTTGGCGTTTTTTTAGTAAGATATTTTTTCCTACAGGATAACGAAGCCAACATCATGACCAACCCTCCTCCTTTACCCGGATCTGGGACCGGATAAAGAGCGTAAGTAAGTAGGTAGGTAGGTAAGTAAGCAAGTAAGTAAGTAAGTAAGTAAGTAAGTAAGTAGGTAAGTAAGTAGGTAAGTAAGTAAGTAAGTAAGTAAGTAAGTAAGTAAGTAAGTAAGTAAGTAAGTGAATAAGTAAGTAAGTAAGTAAGTAATCTATCACCAATAATTTGTAAGATAAATTTGTTTTTTTTAATTCATTCGGTGATTTTTATTTCTAATCTGTTACTATGTGATTTATTTGTAAGATTTTATTTGTTTGTATTTCCTCTGTGAAGAATTCAATAAAGATTTTGATTAAATTAAATTGACGGCACCCAAAAAATAAAAAAAAATGTTTTTAAAAATACAAAAAAATCTATGTTGATTAAAATAAGTTATGTTACTGTTTATGTACATGAGGATTTATTATTTCCCGTGTAAATATACATAGTCACTAATTCATAATTCTTTATATCCATTCTATTCACTATTGTATATTGATACCATTTGTTATGTAGATATTCTTATGAATAAATATAAACAAATAAAAGCACAGTAATAATTGTATACAGTATTCTTTTATGTGAGTGTTCTACTTACTTACCTACTTACTTACTTACTTACTTACTTACCCACTTAGTTACTTACGCCTATTACCCCTCGTGCAAGTAATTGTAAGGTGTATATAAAATTTATTATTATAATTGACATAATGTACATCAACACTATGCACCAATAGATGTATTTTCTTCTTCAAGTTATCCTATGATTTTGTTTCGGAATTTTAATGTGACTGATATAAGTTTATTATGATTTATGCTTTTGTTTTTATATTTTTGATGTATAATCTTTTATGGGATAAAACATAGATTATATTTTTATGATTGTTTTTGATACTAGTTTATAAGCTTTTACGGTAAATGCAATAAACAATACTAGTTATGTAATCTAATCTCGAGATGAAAAGTGGCTAGAAATGAAGTCTAGGATATGTGTTTCGTCTTATTTAGGTCATATCTGCTGGATGTAATTGCATTTAAGATGTGATGTTCACTTCGGGACTGGTATTCAATACCGTTCAATTCAATCGTCATTAATTAGCTACTGGATGACTAATCAATGGAAAGATTCAAGGAACAAATACAGTCGGGTTATATTACATCCCACTTAATAAGCCAGTGGTTACCTGAACTCGGTAAGTAAATGGATAACGTTATGACGTTTGGATTGAGGGATACTGAGTTCGAGTTTCGGAGTGAATATAAAATCTAGGATGCAAGTACATCCAGAGGATGTGTCCCAAATAGAATGAAATACGTGACTTGGGTTCCACTACTAGCCACCATCCATCTCTTGTAATATCCCAATGTGTAGAAAATTGTATCTCTGAAGTTTCATGACTTAATGTAAGCCACTTTTTCAGATTACATAAATAACCTAAATAAAATTAATACAAGGTTAAATAGTACAAAGGAAAAATGTAGAATATTTCTAGTACAATCAAAATCACAATAGGTCTGAACATGCCAATGTCAAATTATTTTTGGTGTATTTCATACAACAAACATTGTGACCAACTTCATATTGAATAACTACTGACATTTCATTGTTATGCAGTTTTTGATCTTAACAACGTTAGTCAATTCACTCAGAACTGATGTAATAGAACTGACAAAGTACAATCATAAATTAATCTATACGAAAATCAAATTTTAATTGTGCTTTGATCGATTATCTGTAAACGTCATAATATTTTGAATGAGAAGTTAGAAACAATCCCGTTTCTCGTAAGCCAACATTATACATTGAATTAGGTCTTAATGATATCCATGCATCATCACTTCAACAACAGCATTAATGAATAAACGAAAATGGTTTTGTTTTTTGTACCTTTAAGTGTAACGGATATAAATGACTAGGTCAATCAAATTCCCCTAAAAATTAAGACTACAATTTCATAGAACAATTTCAACAAATTTGATATAAAAGTATGTAACTTTAAGAAAATAATGGTTAAATTATGGATGATTTGATTTTAAAAACTTTTAGATGGCAATTCGTACACATCAATCATTACTTATGTATTAACAATCCACACAGAATGTTCTACTCTATGCTGAGTATATGATACGTATCGATAAAGCCGTATACTTGAACAAAACACCCATCTTGTTATCTGTAATGATCGGTACTTGCTCAGGTGAAATCATTGCTTTACGAAATATACCATATATCTCGAAGTATCATATAAGTGATTTACAATGCGGAACAAATTAATACAGCTTACAGAATAATTCACAGTTCAGTAATCATTAGTAATTCGGTGAGATCATAATTTATGGACGACCTGTGAACGAATCTTAAGTGACCTTGAGAAATATTAGCCAATTAGCAAATAGTTAGTACAGAGTAAAAATATATTATACAAAACCAAAGAATTAAAGTGGATACACTTTTTATACTTGGTTCAAAAATTTGCCAAGATTACAAAGAGGTTCAGAGGTTCTAAAATCCTAATTCATGCACTAGAGGGAATCATCATATGGCTACAGAATAGTCAGCCTCTGAAGCTATGATAAAGTCTCGAAAACTCTTTCAGCCTCGACCACATAGGTTCAATATTGTTTGTATGCACTCCGGTTGTTGAGTATACAAAATGCCACTTGTGGATAACGACACGATGCACATAACCAAGCCTATGTAGGAGTCTGTACGCTCTCCAATCATCCGTAATTATTATAGTACCTGGCTGCAGCCAGTGTTACTGGTGCTTTCATTTTCCAGTTCGTAATAATTGTCATAATTCGCCTTAGTTAGGAATTATATATAAGGTTTTCATCACGAACTGACATCAGCTATAATGCCAGAATTCTATTTAGTCAAATGAATGAAAGAATCGCTCCAAAATCCGAGATCTATTATCTTATACCTGACTGGTTCGTCCACAAATTATAGTCACGCCATTAATTCTCTTTCTAATAAAATATGCATATATAATGACTATTATAGTATTAAGAAAAACTATTGTTATAATCCAATTCATATTAATGAGACTTATGAAATACAACTGAAATATGATCCAATTAACTTGCCACCTACTGATACCTATTCTATAAATACTTACCTTTATACAATGGAAAGAAAATATGTACCACAGATACAGGAAATTTATATACATTGTAATGACTGATAAATATGAATTATCAAATTGTCTATATTGGATTCACTTAAGTAAAATCATCAATTAAAACTATGAAGAAAACATGCTGTGCCATTAGATATGAAACTGTATACATATTTGACAGTTCATAATTTAATATATATGGAAGATGTTAATGATTGTTTATTTGAAAGATTTTTTTTTCCGATTTGGTTATTGCATTTAATCAAACAAATTTTTTATAGTGATATTTAGGAAGTTTGATACAGTCTAGAAAACCTATTCAGAGAATATAAATGCACTAAAAGTCATACTCTTAAACAGTCAGTCAATCAGTCAGCTACAACGTAGGATCAGGCACATATATGCATCGGTCCAAGTTGCCATAACGCATTAGCTCAACAAAATGAACACCAAATTCATAGGTGCAGTCACTTCAATGGTAGCAATATATAAACGAAAGATTGTATATATGGATATAGTACAAGAAGAAAGAATTGGTTCGTAGGAAGAAAGATATAAAGCAATTCTAATCTCATAGTTTAAGGGCAGACAGAGAGTGTACACACCGACGCCATTGTGATCGATTCTGAGCCATGTCACACAGTCTCCAACTATTGGTTACGATAGTCACGCGGAACCCAACCAAGTAGTCTGCATCTACCAATATTCACCGATATTCACCTATTTCATCTTAAGAACTGACAGTTAATGCTTCACTGTTAACGTACTATGTGACAAATGACTTTCAAGTGAAGAGTAGTAACCAGTAGAGTTCAAGCATATCAAATGTGATACAGATATCAGTGGTGACATTGATGTTAGCCCGGTTACATCATGAATTAAATACAACCATAAATGTTAACCATTATATTCTCACTGAATAACTTAAACGTATCGAATTTCACATCATATCGGAAGGTCATAAGTGCACAATAAGTATTGATGAATTATATATAATAGTGAAATAGTTATCTATTACTCCCTGGTTTTCAATAGTTATGTAGTTATAATCAGTCCATGATTTTAACTATTTATATAATGGTATACAGTTAATCATGAGAGTATAATATTTTCAACAATAAGAATGAAATATAACACAGTTATAACCCCTTGGAAATTACTACAACTGGTCTAGCTTCAATTGACTCATGATCTCAACTATTGAAATTACTAAACTCTCCACAAAACTACTTCTAATATTAATCATCATATGCTCACTAGTGACTGGCTTCAAGATGTATATCCTGGAGTTCTAGTGAGAAGCCGTGACCAGTGGAGTTCAATCAGGTCTGTTGTGAGATATCAGCTCACTGATGACAATGGTGGATGTGTCTCTCATTTTCGTGGATTGTTTGAAGTTAGACATTAAAACCATTGGATGCCAGCCTGCTCAGTAGTCCAGTGGTTAAGCGCTCGCGCGCGAGATTGATAGGTCCTGGGTTCGAATGCCGCGGGGGCGGGGTCGTGGATGCGCGCTGCTGAGGAGTGCCACAGTAGGGCGAAACGGCCCTCCAGTACTTCCGGGTTTTC